GCCAGTGTTAAGGAAACAAGGGAACAAGAAAGAACCAAAAGAGATTGGATTCCGCTGGGAAGACTTATCTCAGATATTCTGACAGAGAATAAATTGATAGAACATCTGAGTGAGGCTGAATAAGCAAGTTTTCTAGAACCATGTGCTGGAAAGCTTCTTAACGCCAAGAACCTTAAGAAAATGAAGATTATAAAAACCATTAAGAAGGATCCCACACTTACTACAAAGGAAGTCATCACCATCTGAAGAGTTCCTCTGAAGGATTTTTCCTCTTTTCACTCAAACATACTCATCTCTAAAAATTGTCCTCGGGTATCTGGAAGCCTGCAAGAGTGATGGAACAATTCCATATGTAAATATCCTTGATCTCATGTAACAACCTCTGGAAGTGGATACCAGAAAGACAAGAAAAAGGAAAGCTATTGGAGAAGGAACTTCTCAGAAAACTCTCAAAGCTGCTAAAAAGAAAGGTAACCCCTCTTTTATTTCTGTTATCGAATCAGTTTTCTTATCAACATTTGAAACCTCCTCATCTCCAAAACCTGCTGAAAATCCATCACCTCAAACCATTGATGACTTTGACATATAAATTAATACCTCAATACACACTAATCATCCTCTGATTAATCCACCTTCTACCCAATTTGTTCAATCTCATCCAGCACTTACACAAGTTCTTTATGATATTGATCAATTTGATCTATTTTTTGAAGCTCCCCAAACCAAAAATCCAAATACTTTCTCTGAACAAATGCCAGAAACCACATTAGTCATTCCAATCATCACATGCCCACTCAACACCTCTCAACCACCAAATATCTCCACCATAACATCACAAGAATTCTCCCTTCCAGATATTCCATCTCCTTATAATTCAATACCACCTAACTCTCATATAATCCTTTTCGACTCTCCTAATACCACTGACTACTCAAAATATCCTCTCAAAAACATAATTGATCTAGAATTCTGGGACAATCTTGTCACAACTTCTCATAAAATAGCCATTCCAAAACTAACACAAAACTATCCAAATCAGAAGTTGGTAAATCTCTGCTGGTTTTTGAAATAGAAATACGGGAATGGGTTAACTCCTTGAAGCAAACTTGCATGGATAATCTTAACCCAACTGCTTCTGATTCTCTCTAGACTTGGTTCAGAAAATGGTTTAATTCTGAATCTCTGAATATGAAGGAACTCGGTTATAAAATTGCTCAACAGAACTTCTGCAATCACCTGAAAATCTTCAAGGATCAAGTTCTATGTCACTGGGTAAGGAAATCTCTTCTCCTTCTAGAAAATACTTCTCGGGAAGCCTCGTATGAATTAGAATTTAATGAGCCATCTCCTGAACCTTAACCTCTCCATGTGGTTGTTTTTAAAGACAAAAGCAAGTCAGTTGAAGAATCTCTTGAGAAATAATCTGTTGCAGTAACTTTTGAGAATATGGCTTCTCCTGTTGAAACAACTCCATCTTCTCTTGTGTTGAAAACTCAGAATGAGTTGAAGAAAGAAAATGCAGCTGTTAAGGAAAGACTGGACAAATAGGATGAAACAAATAAATAAATTAAGGAGATGCTAGGGAAGCAAGAAGAACCAAACAATCAGATCAAAAGTCTATTGGAAGCCTTGTTCACACGAATTTCACATTCTCCACAACCTTAGTTCTGGTCTTTTTCTTGTTTCTGCTATGTTTGTTTCTTGTTTAAAAACTTATGTTCATCTGCTTCTGTCTGTATTAGTCTTTATTGAATGCATCACCTTTTTGTTCTTTTTTAGTGTTTTTATTGCTTTTTGATTTATGATAAAAGGGGGAGAGCAAAAGATATTTTAAATATAACGGTGCTGAGACTTAGTCTTAAACATTTTGAATATGATAACCTATATTTCATTTTTTGGAAAGAAAACAGGAAAAGTGTCTCTTGAAAGCAACTTATGTCACATGGACTTATCAGAACTTCCATCACAAGCTTTGATCAAATATCTTCAGGGAAGCATCTATTTTTTCTTTATCTGAGTATTCAACTCATGGGGAGACCCTGATTCTTTATGTTCTTACGTGATTTATAAAAATATACAAGTTTTTGTCATCATAAAAAAGGAGGAGATTGTTAGAACATAGTTTGGTTCTACATCTTTGTAATAGTTTTGATGATAACAAATACATGATATATACATAACGAACAAATATGCTCTCTAATAATTTAATAAAATATGCAGAGAAGTTCTGATAAAGAAGCATAGAAGTTTGCAAACAAAATTACGCTAAGAAGATCTGATAAGAATTTTTGTACAACTATTGAAATATCACGCTCAAAGAAGTTCTTATGCTAAAACTTCTGAAGCACCAAAGTTGCACGCTAAAACTCTGATGATCTAAAGTCTCAACGTTAATATTCTTATTCTGATCAGTTTTTAAAGAAGCAAGTTCTGATGCGTTACAATTCAATCATTACAAATCAAAGAGTAACGGCTGGTACCAGACATGATATATATTTTTGGAAAGTGCACTAACAACTTTTTATCAACCTTCCAAAATCATCTTCTCATGTCTCATATGCTTCGCCTATATAAAGGAGTCTTGAAGAGTGATAAAAAACACTTGCGAATACAAAGAAATATTCTCACAAGCTCTCTCTTATCTATTCATTGTGCTTTAACCTTGTGTATAAATCACAATTATGATATAGTTTTTCTATAAACACTATTGTACACATTTTGATTCATATTTCATAATACCTTGAGAAACCAAGTTATGGTTTAGTCTCAAGAATATGTTGACGGTAGTCTTTGTGATTGTGTAATCAAAGTTTTAATTAGTGGATAAAGACCTCGTTTGAGAGAGGCGAAACCACCTTGGCGGATGGACTGGAGTAGTTTGAGTTCAAACGAATCAGGATAACCAAACATATCATACTCTTTTAATTTTTGAAAACCCCAATTCAAATCCTTTTTTTTGTGTTTTTCTATCCTTCAGAAGAGACGAGATGTACTTGGAAAAGAATATGAGAAGAAGACACAATACCGCTATGAGAGTTTTGAGAAGACTTAAACTGAAATCTTAAATGTGAGAAGAAAGAACCATTCGTAATCGTAAGACTAAGGCATAATAGGTTTGGGTTTGAGTTGGATGTGGGTTAAGTGAAGTTTGGGTTGTAACATAATGCGGTTTGGTTCGGTTTAGATCAGTTTGTAAAATACAAACTGCAAACCCAACTGAAGCGCACAATTTTATTAAAAAATATCTTAAATACATCCGAACCAAAAACGTTTTTTTATGGTTTCGATTTGATTTGATTTGATTTTGTAATTTTATATTGGGCCGCTTCGATTTTGAACATCCCTACCTGTTTGGAAAGAAGGCACCAAGCCGCTGCAACGTTGTTGTATAGTTGTAAAGATTTCAACGTAATAGTATACAAATAATATTTATTTTGATAATTAATAAAAGTCCACATTAAAATTTGAGGCCCTAATTTTAGAGGTCATGTGCAACGGACCAGACCGTACAAGTCTAAAATCGACTCTGAACACACGTATAAAAACTTTAAGGACCATCAATAATGATAGCTATTCATTGAATGCAGATTTATTACAATCGATAGTCAACGCATTCACGCATTCGGTGCATCGTTGATTGTTCGATCAAGATCAAATAGACTATATTTAAGTTTTATATTTGTTATAATTTAATAATTAAATTATATATTTTTTGAACCATCAGATTTCAATTAGACGACCATTAATATACCGAATGTGTGAATGTGTGGACCATCGACTTCAATGAATCTACGTCCCTATTCATCCCTTCCAAAAACCTCTCAAACACCAAATTGTTTAATTTTTGTGATCTATCGATCAAATTCAAGGAGATTAACCCAATGATGTTTTATTAAATACAATATATATAGTACAGATTCTAAACTCTGTAACACCTCATGAAACCGGGCATGAAAAATACATCTATATTTTTGCCGACCACAGTAGTACATAGACTTTCAATTATGTGTAGTTTGGAAGCAACTATCAATAATTGCTTTGAGGGAAATTAGTGTCAATATGAAAGCTTTGGTTTAATCACCAAACAAAGAAAGAAAGACATGCGACAAAGCAATGTCAACATCTAAGAACAGAAAAAAGAATGGTAATAGTGTTGTTGACATTAACTAGTCTCCAACCCCATATCTAGCTAGTAACATCCTAATTTTTTTGTTTTACCACACATAACCTTTGTTTTTGCATCTTCTTAAAGCCACCATGGGAAAGTAATCTTTCTAACTTAATTGATAAATACAAACACTACATAACAAAATTGAATACTAAAAAAGAACTAACCTTAAATCCAAAACGTCTAAATGATTGGTTGAATTGTTCATAAAATTTCATCTTTCATAATGGACAATATTATCATGAAGTATATTAATAGATATTTTAAAAATTGGATCGAAAATTGAATCGGTTTGATCTCTACAATAATATTTAATTGGTTTAATAAATTAGACATAACAACAAAATTTAAACTCATCGCATATTTAATAGAGAAAAGATTAGTCTAACCAAAACGGATGCAAAGAAAATTCAAATTTTAAAAACATGATGGTCTCTCTCCGTTATCATACCTATAATTTATTCAATTTTATTAGATAATTAAATAAAAACTTATTTGAATCAATTGTGATTCAACTAATTGGATAAGTTTACAATATAAAAAGACAATAATAATTTGTTATTTAAAAACGACTGTTACAAAATGATATTTAAAGGTGTCGATGTCGATCCTATTATTTTATGTTTTTCGCAACCACCACGGTCGTTATTTAAAACCTAACCATTGAACAAGTCAATTCTTGCTTCAACCTATTGAACCGTTCTATTTGGTTTGATTTTTAAACATTAGTACAAATATTTTTCATATATCTATCTACCATGCCTCGTCAATTTATGTGTGCTTATACAATTCAAAAAGCCAAGCTAATTATTTCCAAAGCAAAAAGCCATTCATGGAAGCAGAGGAAATCTTGAAGCTTTTTGATACTTGTTGGTTTGGCCTTCAAAATTTGAAGCAACATCAAAGTTCTTTAACATCAAAAGGTTCTCATCAAAGCAAAGAAGAATCATCAAAAGAATCGAAGCTTTCTCGAATTCGAACCAATCACACAAGGTCCATGAGTGACGAACTAAACAACATGACAACTTTCAAACATGATGATGCTGTTTCTCCAAAATCGTTCCTTTTTGAAACAAAGCTACAAACAATCCCCTCAGGAAAAGATGTCACAGACTACATAGAAGCGGAAAACCAAGCACAGTTGCAGCTTGACGTTTCGCCTAAGAAGAACATGATAAGAAAAAGAAGGAGGAAAGGGGAAAGCAAGAGTTTATCAGACCTTGAGTTTGAGGAGGTAAAAGGGTTCATGGATCTTGGTTTTGTTTTCTCCGAGGAAGATAAAGATTCAAGCTTGGTTACAATCATACCTGGGTTGCAAAGGTTAGGAAAGAATGATAATGGAGAAGAAGAAGAAGAGGATTCTTCTATTGAATCTATGATTCAAAGGCCTTACCTTTCTGAAGCATGGGAGGTTCAGGAAAGGAGAAAGAAAGAGAAGCCTCTGATGAATTGGAAAATTCCTGCTCCTACCAATGATGTTGATATGAAGTATAGTCTCATGTGTTGGGCTCATAATGTTGCTTCCACTGTAAAATGATGAGGATTGTGATTCAAAGGTTTATGTTTTTTTTGAGGTTTAATTTGATTTTTGGCTCCTCTTTTTCATTTCATAGTTTTTTTAGTTGTTCCATTTTGTTTTGTTTTAAAACTTGTTGGAAATTCACATTCCACAAGGTTGTAAATTGTGGTTCTGTTGCATGAGAAATAGCAAACCGGAAGACACGAATAAATTGGAATGGGACTCGTTGAAGGAGAGAGCCGCGAGAAACCATATGATTGTTTGGCCGACGAGGTGATGTATCATGCGATGGACTTACATTTTTGAGAGATGTATGAGCTAAATTGAAGAGTTAATTATAGTTCCTCGACGAATTGTATATGAAGCAAAGGTTATAGGAGCTGAATATGTAAGTTTTGATGTGCATAAACATTCCGGGCTTGTCAAACGGTCCAACAAGAAGAATCGGCCAACAAGACTGACCAAACATCAAAGGCCCAATCAAGAACATCCTTACAAGGAGAACGACGAACGAACCGGTAGACATTCGCTAGAGAATTAAGCACGGGAACCAGACTACACACTCATTATCGGTCATTGGATCTAATCTAATAGCATCCCACATTTCATGCCATGTCAGATACTTTTCATTTATTTTTGCAAGTTACAACTTTCTGATTTTATTGACATGGACGTTGAAGTGATAACTTTACATGCAAGTTTATTTTGTTGTACCGAAGAGTTGCACCACTGTATAGATAGAGATTCAAACCTACATGTCATCAATCTTCTGTTCTGTGTCAGAATAATGGTTCCACATGTGGGAATCGTCTTTTAATTCTCACGAATTTCCACGTCAAATCGTTTTCGTTGCGCTTTTGCAATCATTCTATCGTCCGATCTAATCTCTGTTAACTCTTTCCACCGATAATGGTAGCTTCTAAGTCAGCTCAAATAGCGGTTATCATAATATCGACACGCAGCGGAAAAGTGAAGTTGCTCTGCCCTCTAGGGCTTTTGTTTTGTTGCTTGTATAATTTATTATTGTTTATCATTTATCGCTTTTGTAATTGAGTCTCCTCCAAGTTAGATCTTTGCAAATATCTTAGAATTGAGTGCAATGCTTTTTAAATAAGTGTTTTTGCATAAAATCGTGTTTTTGCTTTCATAAATCAAAATATTTTTTAGTGTGAGCAATAATATGATTTAAGTCAATTAGTCAAGATTTTGGATCAAAAACCATATTTGAGATTGGTTCAAGTCATGACATTATTAGAAACTCAAAGCATCTTTAAGATTGCAAAAATTTGAGATTTTAAGTGTGTGATTTGAATTGCACATCTTATGACTCAAATAAAATAAAATAGAGGCTTTCATGAACTTTGTGAAGTTGTTATGATTCGAATTTCAATTTACACTTGATTTAACTCACAAAACTCTGATTCGTATCACAGATCTCATGACTCGAATCATGAAGTGATGTAGTCACATATTTTGCCTTCCGCCTTTCTTATTTGAATCAAAGTTTTCATGATTCGAATCACATTATTCATGACTCGAATCATGGTTAAAATGGCTTTCTCATAAATGCAGATCTTGTTCCAAATTACTTTGTCACCAGACTTAAAACATACATGTACTTATGACTCGAATCAAACATAATTTTTCACTCATTTTTGTGCATTATCTCAAGCACCTATATAAATCATTTTCTTCTCTCCCTTACCATATTATTGAAAGTGATTATTGTGATGATAATCGCATCTTTGAAAGTCTTTCTAAAAACTTGGAAACTCACATTCAAAGAACACCTTTTTCACATCTATCTTTTGCATTTGAACTCATCTTCAACCTCTACCAAGATTAACATCAGTTGCTTCTCAATTCTTACATAATGTGAGATCTATTGTAGAGGAGGTTCATTCTTTGTTGATGTTTATGAAGTTCTTGAGTTGTAGGTTAAAATTCGTTTGTGTGGTGGTGTTGGAGTTTGGAAATCCATCAAGAAAAAGAATAAATTTTTTCTCAAGGTTACTTCGATAGTGATGTGTGGAATCCTATAGATAAATTCAGAGTTTATGTGTTATTCAGACATATCAATGCTCAAGGGACCGGTAGGACTAGGGAAAGGTTGTTGCAGAACAGAGGCTTGATAAAATTATTGATTATGGAAGAGTTAAGTCGAGATCAAGTGGATCTTGCAAGATCCGCGAAGCAGACGTCATATGCAACAAGAGAAGATAAAGATGAGAAGACTAACTATTTTTAGGAGTATCTTGTATCAAGAGGTTTTATAATTTATGCAAACAATTGTCATATTATTTTAAAATGGAAGAAAATAATTTTTAATAGAAAACTATTGAAGAGTGAATTAAGCTCCAACGAGGACGATAAAGTTGAACTATTATATATCTGGTGTACTCTTCTTCTTTCTTCTCTCTCTCTTTCATTTTTTAATAGTTTTTGCATGCTTAGGTTTGTATCGTTTTTGTAGAATAACATGTTGTTAGTATTTATCTGCTTATAGTGATTTCGTGATTAAAGTTTAGGTATGTGATAGATCTATTCATTTAAATATTATCTCTTAAAATTATTGTTGTATGAACTCTTGTTGTTAAATTGATCATTCGATTAATCAAATTCAGTTTGAACTTTGTGTGAAAATTGAGTTATCATAATTGTTGAATTGCTTGTTTAAGCTAATTCATATTTCTCAATTATTGTGATTTCTAATAATTTGAGTTAACCGTAATATCCATTTAATTGTATGTTTTATAATATTTGTACATTGTTGTTAAATTTCTTATTTATTAATATTGTTATTATCATTTGAGATTAGAATAAATAAGAATTCCCCTTCAAACACATGTAATATTTTAAATTTAATAAAAATCGATCATAGTATTTTATAAGTGATGAGCAAATCTTATTGGCATGACTTTAATTGACATGAGCATATGTAATAGAGAAAATAGTTGGATATTTGTTTAAATATTTTTCAAAACTTGTAATCTTAGTTTAATTATTATTCTCAATCAAGTGGGAGAGCTTACATGTCAATTTTATAAAATGATAATCAAATATAATTTATTTAATGTGATATTATTTTATAGAAACATATATTGAAGATATTATAGTTTTATTTTATTGATGAAAATTTACGACGGCTTGTATTATATCCTTAATATTAATTAAATTAGAATTACATATTTTTCTACTATGTATAACATAATATCTTTCTCAAATGTGTGTACTTGTTATATTTGTAGCATTTGAGTTTTAAGTGTGTTATTAAGATATTGCATATAATCTTATATTATATTTAATATTATATAGATTTAATCTTACTCAAATGATAATAAACCTTTTATTATACTGAGATATATATTATTCTCTTAATCTCATGAAGCATCATAATTTGAGGCTTGAGCCGATATTGAAAAGATATAATAATTCTTTAGCATACAATAATATTGTGTTATTCTATCTTTAATGTTCCACATCTTTCAGGTCATAACTATTAAAGTACAAGTATAATATCAAAACTCTTATCGAGTGTGATATTGTGTTATAACTTATAAAGGTACTTATGATTAAAAGTAACTACATTCGTATGCTTATTTGTAATTACTATTCTTAGACTTATATGAATATTATAAGATATTGAATTTAAAAACTCATTAGTTGAATCACTAACCACAGACTTATCATTCTTGTGATAATTTGGGTTAGTGAGAGTTTATTATTAGCACTTTCATATGCTTTAGTCATTCTTTAATAACATATTATTCTTAACTTAAATATGTTACTCTAAGTTCATCATTCTTTTATAGGCATGATTTGTTTTCCCTATCAGATACAATTTCGACAATCTTGGAGTTTAATTCTCTTTGATTCATGAGTGTTTTGACAAGTAATGATATTCTAATATTAAAATTAATATTTTTAATAATTAATTATAGTCATCCAATTGAGAGATCGTTAGATTAATTATTTAATTATTCAGTCCGGATTGATATAATTAATTATTAATAACTTATATTATGAACATTGTCATTAAACACTAATTAGTGATGAATTACTTGATTGAGTTTTGTGCGTGAATGTGTCATAAGGTGTTGGACCATTCATTTAGATCCAGTGAGAGGCCATACCCTCATTCGTTTAATTATTTGAGTGTTGCTCTATTAAATAATTTGTGGATTTATGTGCTTGCAAGTATAAATGTAACAATCCAGCAAAAGATCATATATGATATTTTGGTGATGACAACCAATATCTTGTGGCAAGTCAAGCATAAACAGTGAAGCGAATAAAGATTCAAACTTAATCATTAAGTTTTGATGGAATTGACTATCTGATGACAACAATGAAATAGAATATAACTAAGATTTCATCTCAAACTAGTCAAGCAAATATCTATAAAAGAGAAAGCATTTGGAAAACTCTTGAAGTGTTTAAGACTCTCATAATTTAACAGTGTGAGAAACAATTGTAATTCAAAAGGGCTTTATCATAAATGAATATGGCTAAAGCGCGCGCACACCGACACTAAAATATATTTTCAAACTATTTTTTACCAAATAAAATATCTTCGAAAATATCTTGAAATTGTGTCAGATGAATTGAGAGCTATAAAAGTAGCAATAGGAGAAATTTTGACTTATGAAATTGATTGGCATTTTTGTCCCGTCAGTTAGCTAAGTTCAAAATTGAGTCACACGCGATTAGGACAACTCCTTAATAATGTGCAACATCTAGATATCTTATCCTATATTTTTTAAACTTATAATCCATTATATTTCAAACTTCTAATCGATTGGAAACCATGGACAATCGATTAGATTGTCATAAAATGCATTTATTATAAATTCATTTTTGAGTCAATCTCTAGCCTATAAATAGATGTATCCTTTCTCATTTTATTTCATCCAGAATCGTGTTTTTACACACCTCCCTCTCTCTCTCCGTCTCTCTCATTTTTTAATAGTTTTCTCATGCTTAGGTTTGTATCGTTTATGTAGAATAACATGTTGTTA